AAAAAAAAAAAAAAAAAAAAAAATATATATATATATATAATATATATTTTCCCCACCAAAATTCTAGTTGAAAGGATTTTTAAAAGATGGGAAGTGATATTGAGGACACAGAAAAATCAATAAATTAATTTTGAATTAAATGTGTAGTTACGTTTAAATTATATATTTCAAAAATAAGAAACATCTGGAATATTCAATGTAGTGCCAGTTTTATTCAATTAAACTTTTTTTTTATTATTATTGAAAAACCTCAAATTAATAAAATGATTTAGGTGATATTCTGATCTAAAAATCTTTTAAAAATAGTGGGCTTAATGTTACTTATTAAGTAACATTAAAACGTAATACGTAGTTGAATTTAAAGTTTGATTACAAGATTCACTTGCGAACACAAGGCTTCGATATATATCACAAATACAAAAACTAAAAGAAAAATTGTCATGACTGGACATGAATGAAAAAAAAATCACATTTTAAAAGTCATACATTTGTTTACATAGTTGATGACTGTAATATTCTCTCAGTCTTTACTGTATTCTCTCTAAGCACGGTTTCAACAGCTTTCCTATGAGAGCTCGAGATTTTGCGTGAAGTTGTACAATACTGACGCATAGTGGCTAATTCAAAGTAATTGCACAAGCAGGAGCGATCATGCAGGTCTTCAAATATTACAGTATGATTAGTAAATATAACAACTGTGTTCAGGTCTCAAGCCAGGATGGTGTTTTGAAGTAAATAAGCTGGAATATAGACATTATAAAACAAAGAAATTTTGTGACTACATAGTTCCATTGATTTATACTATGCCATTTGTGTTATTCCATTTAGTTGATGACTTTACTAATATTATAAAATGTGAAAACCAGTCATAATAAATAAAAACAAACTTTTAACTGGTAGTATTCTTTGACTTTTATGTGTCAGCAAAAGTCAAAGGTTAAAGTATTATATTTATACCTCATGATCATATTCACACCATGTGTTAGAGTAACCTGGAAAATGTCAGATATTCTTAAACATCACTTACATTGACAGCAAAAGAACTGGTTCAGTGGTTCACACTGGGCCCTAATGGGTCATGAGATCAGATGTTAATTTGATTTAGCTGCTTCAGTAAGAGACTTTGATTCTGACGCTCTGCGTGGTTTAGCTCAATTAAACCATTATGACACAAACACAGGCCTCGAATGAGACTTTCCACTGGCTATAGAGCACAACACAAAGAGCGGCTCTGTTCGTCCGCTCACTGCTGCTTCCTGGGCCTGAACAAGACAGAAAGACACAACAGGAACACATTCAAGCAGGGATTGCATTTGGCAAATGGATCAGATGTCTGTCAGTTCATACTTCATGATAACAGAATGAAAACCTCTCAGTTTAACATTCATGTAAATGATATAAAGAGTACAGGCAAAACCAGTTACAGAACAGCTTCAACCTAGACACCTGTTAAACACAACCTGAACTGCTCAAATCTGCTTTGAAGCTTAAAATATACTGATAACCAACATAATAACCCAGAGCACAGGGAATGTTGTCAGAACGTTCTGGCAACGTTCATCCAGTAACATTAATAGAACGTTCGTTCAAAGTTATCTGGCCTTTAGTAACGTTCTCAAAACATTAGCACATTTATTTGAACATTGCAGTCGGACCTTCATCTAAGATTCAGAAGGTTCAGAGAACATTCAAAAGTAACATTCCCATACTGTTCGCAAAATAATAAAATGGAACGTTCATATACACTCTAAAAAATGCTGGGTTAAATACAACCCAGTGCTGGGTAAAATA